TGGATCACAAAATTTCATTTGAAATAAACTACAAAAGACTTTTCATTTTAACTAATTGATGAATATTTTTTTTGCTTCAAAAATTAGAAAAAGAGCCAATAAAACATTTTGATATTATTACTTTTACCCCCACTGAAAATTTTTTCTGGCTCTGCTCCGAACCACAAAACCCATGTCAAGATTTTGGCAGCTATAATTCATAAACTTCACCAAATTATACGCTCTGGAGAGTCAAATCAGCAGATTTGGAGCATTTATAGTACAAAGAGATGCCAACTTAAGAACATTATTACTACTTGGCAGATATGGAGAATATGACAGATGATAAGATGATTGACTATTGTAGCATTTATTGGGCATGTGATTGTGGATTTTCTGAAGCTGGTGCAATTAATTTCTAGCAGAGTAGTTGAGCAACATTAGAAAGAGATGCTGAACTGGTCAAAACTCCAAGAAAGGGCAACAAGCTTGATCTACAACAATTAGGGCTGCAATGGTTGCCGTATCTCTTTCACTTGCACCGATGGATGCTTTACCCTTTTTTCTGCTGGGGGACAAAACTGTCAAAAAATAACAATAATCTTGTGCATAGGTCCCTCATACACGTTCAGTTCTTCCAGATTCCGGGCCACTTTAGCGTGCTATGAGGAGCAGGGAAACACCATTTGTTGCTGATAAAAACGCGCGCAATAACTCGAGAAGGTTTTCATCTTCAAAATACATCATGCATGAGTGGAATCCAACTTTGCATACACTGGATGCAGACACAGAAATGAAATCAGAAGGCCTTTTCCTCGTCTCCTCTTGAAGTTGAAAAAAGAATAATACATCTAAGCATAAAATCAAACGAAGTTACTGCAGAATTTAAGCTACTTGATCAGCAGAATACCAACTTTAACTTCTATTTAACAGAAAGTAGTCAGACGAAAGGGAAATATTGCAGCTACTAGTTTTGTTTAAGCCCCAACATTCAGCAGCATTAGCTAATATACGATTCATGTCTCGATAAGATAAGCCACCAGCTTTGACGGACAGACAAGTTAATTAATTAATAACCAAAAAGATTGATCACAGAATAAGCCAAGCCTTTCCTGGAACTCAAAATGAATCCAATCCCTGCTGAGTGTAAGGAGCCCTCGCACAAGCGTGAATTGTGGTAAGCAATGCTTCATGAGCAAACACTGTCAAGAAGGAAATACAGATTGCATATCGCAGCATGGTGATTAAGCATTCCTAATCGTTTACAGTAATCACAACAACATCTGAAATTCTAAGTTGTGAATGTAAATGTACCTATCCTTGACTTGAGCTCTTATCTTGGAAAAAAGATAGTCAACAGGTAGAATTGATAATACAATAGGAGTTGAACTCTTACAATTTCAAATGAGGATGTAAATTTAAAAAAAAAACACACACACACATATTCGGCTCTTTCAGTTTTTTGGAGCTGCTTTAGCATGTAGCAGGGAGCAGCGTAACATCAATTACTTGTTGCTGATCAAGACATTCGTAATACTCCAGTTAATGAACTTAAGAAAGGTTTGCATATTCAATATACATCATCCAAGAACGGAAGACAACTTCAAACAAAGTTCTGCCAATAGAAGCTATGTGTGATGCAGAAAATTTCAGCCCATGGAATTGGAATCAAAAAGACCTTCTGTCTCCTCTTGGAAGTGTTGAACATAATTCACAAGAGGTTAGAATCAAAGTTCAGGCAAAACTTAATTTGCTTCATCAGAAAATAGAACTTCAACTTCTATATCTATAAGAAAATAGTCAGCCAAAAGGAAAATCTAGCAGCAAGTGGGGCTATTTTGAATGACTAGCAGGACCTTCTTTATGCCACTTGAGCCAAGTATAATTACAGCATTTAGCAGCATTAGGTAATAAAGTTTGGTGACATATAGACAGCAGCTCAAAATCATTTCTTTATTGTTATTTAGAATGCTTGCAGTGCTTTGCCGGAAAAGATGCATCAGCTACTTATGAGCTCAAAGTCTATCCAGATATTAATTTAGTAAACAGGGGTCACGTAGAAAAAGATGATAGTCTAGGGACTGAATTATCAAATTGAAGTTCAAGATGAAAAGTATTGCAAGTATAATAATGCGAGGATGCAAAATGGAATCAGTCTTTTCTAATTCAATTTTCTTTTCTCATTTTACTCTCAGATTTGCACTCTGGAAGTTCTCATTCAGCCCTAGTCATGTATAAAATTAACTTAAAAATAGAAAGAATACATGGATAGAAAATCATGAAACTTTCAAAGCATGAAACTTTTCACATCTCTATGATTCTTAATGTAACATGACCAGAGTCTAAGGTTGAAGGTGAGGGCCTTTAGCTATGAGGAACCAGTTTGTAGGACAACTCCAGTCAATGTGAATATGTAATCTGTCCAAATTTGTTGATACTACATTTAAAAGAACAATAAGATAGATGGCATTTAGAATCCTATAAGAAAATCATGATTGAACTTTTTTTGAAAAGAAAGAAGTTACACATATTACTATACTGGAAACAGGTTCTCAGACCAATATTATAGCACAGACATCTTATTAAGAGAAAGCTGTAATTTCAGAGATGCATCACATAATGTTAAGTTTCAAATACACACAACCCATAGCAAATCAAGAGCAAAATTGCAACTGACTTCCACTTACAAGAAACAAGCAGGATGTGATATGATTCTCATGCGAAAAAAAGCGCACATACACAAAGAAACCCAAAAGAGAGGAGCTTATATCCATATAAAATGGTAGCAGACCAAAAGATGCATATCACTGACCAATATGACACAAACTGATACAATCATTATGTGAAATTCATCAAACTAGCTCAGCAGGTAAACTACATTAAAGTACGCCAGGCATTTTTTCTGAGTCATTATATTCAGGATACAGACTCTTTAGGCTATTGTTTACCATATTGGAGGGACAATGATCTGTTTGTGAAAGATAAGGTTTAAATCCTTTTTCATCAGAAGACCTCACATTATTGCATATCTTAATGTCGTTTAACATATCTTGACACCCATAACACTCCTAACATAATATTCTAGCAAAGCAAAACCTATTGGTCATAAAAACAGCATGATAATCATCCAATTCTGCATCTGTAATAATTTAGTTGCTATTTGTTTCTTAATGCAATTTATAAGCATTTGAGAAATAGATACATTCTCTTTGCAATCTCTTAACAAGATATTCTCGATGAAAATGGATCTGACATATGATACCAATATCCAACACTTTGAATTGAAATCTTAAATTATGATTAGCTGAGAGAATTCAGACTATGCACTGCACGTCACTGTACCAAATTATCGACCTCTGTCAATCTCCCCACCCTTTGAAACAAGACATACAGACAGAAGGCCATATTACCCAGCAACTAAGTCTTTATCAATGTCCCAGACGAAACAAGAGGAAAAGAATAGTCCAATATGTTCCTTTATCATTTCTACACGAACAGAATAAATTGAAGAGATAAGAAAACACAAGTTTGCAATTGTCACAGTGAATTCTGAGATTCAGTCCATTAGAAGATTAATATCCCCCAATGCTAAACGAGAAAGGTGCCCAACCCATATTGTTTCTCATCATAGCTTATCCCTACCTATACATTAACTTTTAGAAGATAAATTTACTGACTAGATTAAGATAATTTAGGCAAGTCGAAGGTAAAAACAAACTTAGTTAAAATGACTGACTGAGGCTAGCAAAAGAAAGGGTTAGACTAAACATTATTAGGAATGGTTTAACTAAAACAGATTCAAGATTTATAACTATACAGGAAGTATTACACTAAATAGAGCCAAATGGAAGAACTGAACTCATCTAGAAGAAAGATTAAAGCTTGAAAGATTACTGTGGTGGAACTCGATTTGGGTTAATTTAACATGATATTGTTCATGTTCTCACCGCTTAGATCACCATTCACTAGGTACCTAAGTAACAAATTCAAGCAACAATACAGAACATAAGGCATGCAGTTTCCAGTTAGCAAGGTTTTCATTGAAATGCCTCCCTAGAAAGCCAGTTTCACACAACCTAGAGCCATTCGGCTTTCTGTACCATTTAATCTTTCACTTGACAAGCAAATTGGAACAAAGGAAAATTTAACCTCTCTATAGTGAAAAAGTGAAAGTAACATAACTCCAAGTTTACCCTCGGTGATAAGAAGACTACTTACAAAACTAGGCAAACACAAAGAGGTTGTCTATGCCACATGATTTGTGGCTTTTTGTTCCACTTCTACAATTAGTTCAGAATTCTGCTTTTTACCTTATCTCCTTGAGCCATTCTGACATCATTGGATGCAGAAATGTGTTTTTCCCATTTATTGTACCAGTTCAGTAAGGAATTTCCAAATTGTCCTTCGCCTTTCTTGTTTGTGAAAAGTTGGAGCTTTCTTCCTTTGCTATTTTCTGAAAGTTGCCCACTGTACTAATTTCATCCTATAAGCAAGAGTATACTCCATCCCCTGCCTTGGGAAGCTATTGGCACAGTTTAAAAGCTCCAAGTAAGAGATACACCTATTGCATAAATGGTTTCTGTGATTGAGCTCTATGGAAGCCATCTTTAGCTGCACACATCCCAGATTAATACTTATTTCTAGAAATCTACAATTCCCTCCGAAATGTTATGTGACTATTTCATGAAATAGGATAAGGAGTTGCATACTTCCAATATATCATTCCTAGAAGACAAACCTTCCTTCAGAGTGGATGATGCCAGTAAAATTGCTGCCCTTAAATTCGGCATAAACATTTCAGAAGAACTCAGAACTTCAAATTTGATCAAAACCATGAGTGAAGTGCCCCAAATATCAGATGCAAAACTTATAGTCATGTTCCATGAAGCTCCAAAATTGGATTCCCTTTTTTGCTCCCTTATGTTTTTCATAAACTTAACAACTTCTGCTTGAATGATAAGGGCAAGAATATAAAGAAACTGATTCATTAGGGCACGTAAATCGACTTGATCAACGTTATCTACTCCATGAAACAGCTTGGAATTTATACTCATAATCTGCTGATAACATTCTCATAACTGTGAAAATACAAAAGCTCAAGCATAATCTTAAAATTCAAGTAGATCATTTCATTTACTCCAAGCTTTTTTGTAGAGGTCTTAATAACAACCAAAACTGCTTTTTGATAACATTTTGAAGTGACTACAGGATAGACATACACAAGCAAAAGGCGTCTTCAAACCCTGAATTGTTCTCCCATAAACTCACAAACATGAGATGATCACAAGTCAGTTCTGCTAAATGTCGAGGCAGTGTACTGTGCAGCCATGTCCTTCAGAACTTGGATCAAGCCCTTCAAGTCATTCGTACCTAACTCAAGACAGTCCCTTAACAAGTCACCCTCCACCACCTCTTTCTGCATTGTCTCAACAACTTCCCTAAAGGGTCCCTGCGCCATACCCATTAAAAACCTTTAAAAAAATCATCTTTACACGGAAAAACAGTGCTTTATTTTATATTTCTAATCACTTCCATCTGTAAGCTGCTTACCATGTTCCAGAAACTTGTACTTAAACTAGAAAATAATAAAAGAAAGAGAACTTCATCCAAAAATAAATTCACTGAACTTATTCATTCAACTTGATATTTAAACAATCAATTATTCCCATAATCACTGCAATGAAACATCTTTTAACACTAAGCACTAATTCTGTTAATTTTTGTCTATTTTACAAACTTTACAAGCTCGATTTTAATGCTTTTCTTTGAACATATGGCTATTTTCTACAATACTTTAGCTCATTCATCAACTAAAATCTTTCAAAACTTAGCTGAAGAGACCTTACCATGTCACATAATAGCCATACAAGAAAGTTTAACGAAAATGGCACGCTTTAATCTCTAATTCATAAAAAGAGCATAATTTTGGGCTCATTGTTATAAAATAGTAATTTGTACTCACTTTTCTACAAAATTTACACTCTTTATTTACATTTAGCAATTTGTAGACATGTCCATAATTATGCTTTTTTAACTAAGCATCGCATCCCCCCCTCCCCAAAAAAAACACACATATCAATGCCAGGAGAAAATTTTTATTAGGTTTAAATTGCAGAGGTTGGGGAAATAATAACTCAAAAAAATAGAGAAAAAAAGCATTACCGATTGTCGAAATATTTTGAGGAGTTTATCAAACAGCGACCTGGAAACGGTGAAGACTCTATTATAGTTTCGGCCGACCCAGGCGACTCGCTCGGAATCAGAGCCGACTCGGGACAACTCGTTGAGCTCCCTGAGCAACTCGTTAAGGTCGGAAACGGCAAAGGAGAGGTCAGTTATTGAGACCGTATTGATATCCCGCCAGGCGTAATTTTTAAGATAGTCCGAACCGAGGTTCCAAGTGAATTTCCAGAGGCCTAGTCCCTGAACTGACTCGATTTTGTGCGCTATAGTTCGGGCACGGGCTGAGCCCGTGAGGTCGCCTCGTGAGGCACGGAGGTTGGCAACTCGCACAGCGAGCGAGTGGGATAGGGAAAGTAGAGTGCCGTAGTTGGAGAGAGGGAAGGAGAGGGAAAAAGTGGGTGATGGTGCGAAGAGGAGGAAGAAGAAGAGGAGGAAAGAGAAGAGTTTGTTTTTCACGAGAGAAGTAAGCATTGACTGAGAGAGAAGAGCAGCGCCGCTTTCCACGGTGGCGGTGCTGGAGGACCGGCGGTGGTTCGGATCTTGGAGAATGGCGGGGAACATAGGCTCCGTGTAATTATATCACAGGGTTAATCACATTTTATCCCCTTAAAGAATATTTCATTTCTCAGTTTACTCCCTAACCTTTAATTTTGCTCACTTAACCATCTGTAGGACAAAATTACCATTGCATTATTTTGACTTTTCATTTACCTTGTTTTCCTTTCTTTTATTTCTTTTTCTCTTTCTTCTTTATTTAATTCTTCCTCTTTCCCACAAAAATCTTTATCTTAATGATTGAAATTAAAAAAAATAAATTACAGAGATCTATCTTCTCCTTAAATGATTAAAAAAAATATTCAAATCACTTTCCTAAAATACAATTTTTTTAGCCTTTCAATTCTTTTAATTTTAAATTTCTCTCTTTCATTTCTAGTTTCTCATTTTATTTCCAAGAAAATATTTTAAGATGAAATTATAAAAGTATCTTATTTTCCATTTTGTGATGTCTCAAAATATTTATCTTATTAAGAAAATCAAGATATCTTTTAATCTCTTTTTCTAATATAGTCTTTCTCTATAATCATATACGTGTTACTATTCAAATTCAAATTTTGAATTTGTATGGATAAAATTGGAAAGAAAAATACAAATATCACAATCAAATCACTATTTTTTAAAAGTTGAATTCCCAAAATATGATTAAATAATTGGAACGAAGGAAGTAATAAATAAGACATGCTCTAATTAGAACATGGGCTCCGTGAATAACTAGAGCATTAATTAACTATTAGTAAATAATCAACAAAATAACTGTTGAGAATTTCTTTAATGGTGAACAGCGACATATAATTATAAAATAACGCCAATTGATATATCAAATGGCGCTATTTTGTGATCGATAAAACTTGATAATGACAAGAAATTAGTTGTATACAATATCAGAAGAAAGCTTTGGTAGAATTCATGTGGAAATTGTCTTTGAAACACTTGAAACTGTAGTAGTTGTAAAGAAATTTTGCAAAAATAAAGAATAAATGAGGGAAAAGAAAAGCAAATTTTGAATTTTTTTAATTCAAAATCACAAAAATTGTAGCAAAACTTATATTAAGAGAGATGACTGAATTTGGCGATCATTAGTGTAGTTTTGTTGCTTATTTATGTTGTCTAATGCATTAAATGTGAACTTTTTGAATAGGGTAATATATGTGTTAATTGTTTCTAACTTTTAATTACTTTCATCCTTTTACTAATATAACTTATATATATGCATAAGAATCATTTATGAAATAAAAGTTTCATTTTTTCGCCATAAAGTACATATTTATTTTTACTTTTTTTGACTTAGACTAATGTTGTTACCAAAACCCTAATTTCAGAGGAGGTTTGTGTAATTTTGCAAACTTTAGGGGAAGGTTAGTGAAATTGTCAGAAATCTCAGGGAAGGTTTCTAAAATTATCTCTTAATATTTTTTGTCATGATAATTGGTACAAAACTTTTCAAGAAAAGAAAAAAAAATTAAAGGCAAATAAATGAAAGATTGAATGTAGATGGTGATGAAACTTTGAAAATAAATAGTTTTAGTTGAAATAGTTCTTTCTTTGAATCTATAGTATTGCATTCAACATCTTGAATATTAATTTTGTTATTTAAAAGTTAAAATTGAATGATATTTATGTAATTTTTAACTATATATTTTCAAAATATTTTTATTTTAGTTATTATTCACTATATGTTCAGAAACATATCCACATATATCTATTAGATATTTAGACTCATGAACGTCTAGGTCTGGATCTACTTTTTTAAATTCCATAAGTGTTTGAGTTTGGATTTGGATACTTACATCCTAGTTATATTTATTTGGAAACTGGGGACTAGGAAGGAGCATGAAGTTATGTTTACGAGACTGAAGGGCCTAACTCTTGACTTTGTACATTGATGGAGAATTTGGTTATCATCTCATCAAATTATTAATGACTCAATTTAATTAGATTCACGTCACCGTAATAACTTTTCTGATTCTGTAGTTAATAGTTACTCCACCGACTAGTGGAGTAATAAAGAATTTTACGAGTTACACTCGCCCTCATTTAGTGCTGTATCGAAACTAGCATGAGAATTTATTCATTCACCTGCAGACTTGTTTAGACTTCAAAACGTTTGAAGGCCTAGAAAGTAAAGCAGCAAAAAAGTAAAGCAGCATGCATAGGACAGCAGACCATAACATTTTCAAGCAAGGGGCTCGAACTCCAAAGGGACAATTCCAGGAAATGGCCAGGGTCCGTCGGTTAAGTGCCAGTCTCATTCCCTTTCATAACTCACAGTTTTTTGTATGAGTGTTTCGATAAATGGACTCTGCGAAGACACTTCAAAAGCCGGCAACTTTTGAAGTGCTCCGCAGCACTTAACTACTAAACCCCCCAAACCCCCCCAAGCGATGTGGGAACTTAACCCCACAGGGTGCCCCGCTGCTAAGAGAAGTCTCATTCATTCGTTCATCATTCAATTGTTCCTGTGATTTGGAGTAAAGGCAAGGCAGAAAAAGTGGCAGGGGTAAAGATGAGATGACATTGACAGCAACAGTACACTCTCTGTTTTTCGGATTTGGGGTAGGGACGGTCATACTGCACGGTTAAGGGCCAAGATTGGCCCTCAAAATTTTGTGCGACTGAGATTACACCATGTAACTCGATTTCCGCGCCAAGTGTGGGATCCACCACTATCTGTTGTGAAAATACATCTTGTGAAAAAAAAGTTACACGATGTACAAAGAAAGTTACGGCCAGTTGATAATAACTACAATTGGCAGGGACGGTTGCACCTGCAACCGTCCGTGCCCCGAGTCCCTGTTTTTCCATTCCTGCCACTTCCGGAGACTCTGCTAGGACTGTCGATGGGTTGGGCGAGTCCGAATTCGGCTCGTTCGATCCGGCAAAAAATTTAAATTTAAAAATTAAATTTGAATTAAATATAAATTGGGTTTGGGATTTATTAGGCTCAAATTTGATATAGGTTCGGTCCTTTAAATATTTATATTTTGATATTATATATAATTATATATTCAAATATATTATTACTAAATACTAAATATATATAAATTACAAAATACATTTAAAAATTCTTTTATGAGCTTTCTTGAGAACTAATATTAGTAATTCATAACTGAATATCTAACTTTTCTTATTGGTTGAGTAAATTTTTATGTTGGCATAATATTGGTTGATTTTTTTTTGTCTACAAACACAAATCATCAAATATGTTTGGATTTAAATCACATGGTTATAAAAAAAAAAAAGTTCAACTTTTAAAGATATATTGGATAATAATCACATGTTTTATTATTATTTTTCATGCATTTTGAACGAATTAAATATAAATATTGTTGAAAACTTTCTGGTTTATATACCTTTTAAGAACTATTATTTGTTCATGTTTAGTTTTAATATTTGTAAATGTTAAATTAGTTTTACAACTTGATAGTTATAATAGGTATATTAAGAAAATTAAGGAGCAATATGTGAAATTGGACTAAACTCGATTAACGCTCACAACTCGAACATTATGTGAGTTGAGTATGAACTTCATATTTATGAACATGAAACTCATAGATCGAAACCCGAAAATGCTCCAAATTAAATGAATTGAATTTAAACTTATGAAAGTCCGGCTCATTGGACCGGATTGAGAGACCTAGACTCTGCACTCCCATGCGCTCCTTTATCAGTACCACATGCATATGCGCTTTTCCTTTTATTCCTTTTAGGTTCCTTGGTCTTCGTTGATACTTTTTCTCTTTTCTCTTTTTGCCTTTGTTTTTTGTCAGTACAATTTGTTTTCGTGTTCATGAAGCAAGAGTATGAACTTAGAATGCTGTGAATACAAGTTAATTCAATTAATAAAATGATTCATTTCTTTATATAAGAGTCATATGTTCAAATCATGTTATCGATATAAAAATCGTATTGAAAGTGATTTATATAAATCTCTACAAGCGGTCTATAGTAACTAATGTTACATCTACCTAAATTTTTTTTATCAAAAAAAAAAAGAATATGAAATGTCCAAAACAGCAAGGGCCAGTACCTAGAGAAATCTTAAACAGCTGCCCTTGCTTTTACTCATAAAGGCATCCTTTTACACGGTGAAGTTGTCTATTCTCCATTTCCTTTCTAACGGAGCAAGTATAAAATTTTCTAACCTTGCCTTTGAACTGGTGGCCATCACCTAGCTTGGTGGGGTGCCTCCCACCAAAATATCACATTTAAATAATTTGCTTCAAAAAAATTCAGACGGGTGTGTCATGCACCCGTTTAATCCGATGATAGTTCAATCCTCTCCGAATTATCCCTGGACCTCCTTAGACCCGTCCTCTCCCCTTAATGTAGTATAGATTAGATTATACAACTGTTGTCGTCTCCGAAAAAATATATATATAAAATTTTCTAGCTGGCTACCGGGCTGACATTCAACAAAAAAAAAAATTCCAAGCAGGCTGCTGGGCTGTCAAAAAAATTTGTTAATATTTGTTATGTGATGTTAACAACAACGATAAGAAGCCTGCTCTTATATTAAAGGTTGGCCGACTTGACTACTTACCATCAAACATTGACAAAGCACAGCAATCAGCTCAGTTGATCGACCAAGGAGGAAAAGACACACAGCGCAACGACATTTTCATCCTAAAATGATCGAATACATAGACAGGCCCAAGGTCGAACACTTCAAATATCAAGGATCATCATAAGGTAGAGCATCCATCCCTTGTAGTACAAGTTATATATGACATGACAACATTATACATACGTATTTAGCATCATAAGGTAGAGGGACTGTTCAAACTACCATGCAGACATCTTTGATTCGCAAGATACATTCAGCATTGCAACTGACAGTGGCAAGTCAACAACTTTGATGCTTAAAGGGGAACTTCCTAGTAAAGTCAGTTGAGACTAATAATAAACCGTAGCTCGCTGGGCCTGCCTTGCGATGAGGAAAAGCTCCATAGAGAAATCAGATTAATGCTGCAGTCAACAGTAAAATGTATTCCTCCAAATTACTCCTGCC